GGTGATTTTTCATTTATAACTGTCGAAAAGGTTTGTCCTGTTACATAATCTCTGAATGTTTGTTTTTTTCGATTTTTGGTGTATGTGATCTCGAAGCATATACAAACAAGTTTGACGGTTGGATCGTTGAAACTAGTTTCGTACAATGCGTATCCCATCAAAACAATATATTCACTAATACTGTGAGTTTATTTATACTTTCATTAAGTAAAACATAAGATTTTGTGATATCCACTAGTGTAAATATTTTAAATTGACGATTGAATTGGTTCATTTTATTCATATAGGATCAAGGAGTGTAGCTGTCAAATCCCGGCCCGGGGTGGATCACTTCCCGGGTCCGCTTCACCACCGTAGCACGATATTGTCCGCTTTGGGCTTACCATTCCCTCACAGTTTTGTTTTTGGGAACTCACGAGCAACTTCCTAGTGGGTCACCCATCATGGGATTACTCTAGCCCCCTTCTCGCTTAACTTCGGAGTTCCTACGGAACCCGAAGCTAGTGAGCTCCCAAAAGGCCTCGTGCTAGGTAGAGATGAGAATATACATTTAAGGATCACTCCTCTGGCGATGTGGGATGTCACAATCCACCCACCTTAGGGGCCCGACGTCCTCGTCTGCACACACGCGACCAGGGTTAGGCTCTGATACCAATTTGTCACATCCGGACCCGGGACGGATCACTTCCAGGGCCCACTCCACCACCGTAGCACGATATTGTCCGCTTTGGGCTTACCATTCCATAATATACAGTTTAACCCTGGGCGCGTGTGTGCTGACGAGGACATTGGGCCCCTAAGGGGGGTGGATTGTGACATCCCACATCGTCCAGAGGAATGATCCTTAAATGTATATTCTCATCTTTACCTAGCACGAGGCCTTTTGGGAGCTCACTGGCTTCGGGTTCCGTAGGAACTCCGAAGTTAAGCGAGAAGGGGGCTAGAGTAATCTCATGAGTGGTGACCCACTGGGAAGTTGCTCGTGAGTTCCCAAAAATAAAACCGTGAGGGAATGGTAAGCCCAAAGCGGACAATATCGTGCTACGGTGGTGGAGCGGGCCCGGGAAGTGGTCTCCCCCGGGGCGGGATGTGACAGTAGCTGTAAAAAATCATCAAAATCGGAGTTAAAACTACCGTTAAATGATGATTTTTGGTTTATAACTGTTTAAAAGGTTTGTCCTGTTACATAATCTCTGAATGTTTGTTTTTGTCGATTTTTGGTGTATACGATCCTGAAGCATATTCAAACAAGTTTGACGGTTAGATCGTTGAAACTAGTTTCGTACAATGCGTATCACATCAAAATAATAGACTCTCTGATACTTTGAGTTTATTTATATTTTCATTAAGTATAACATAAGATTTTGTGGTATCCAGTAGTGTATATATTTTAAATTGACGATCGAATTAGTTCATTGTATTCATATAGGATCAAGGATTGTAGCTGTAAAAAATCATCATAATCAGAGTTAAAACTACTGTTAAATCGTGATTTTTCGTTTATAACCGTCGAAAAGGTTTGTCCCTTTACATAATCTCTGAATGTTTGTTTTTTGCAATTTTTGGTATATGTGATCTCGAAGCATATACAAACAAGTTTGATGGTTGGATCGTTGAAACTAGTTTCGTACAATGCATATCCCATCAAAACAATAGATTCACTAACACTTGGAGTTATTTGTACTTTTATTAAGTATAACATAAGATTTTGTGGTATCCACTTGTGTAAATATTTTAAATTGAGGATCGAATTAGTTCACTATTTTCATATAGGATCCAGGAGTGTAGCTGTAATAAATCATCAAAATCGTAGTTAAAACTACTGTTAAATGGTGATTTTTTGTTTATAACCGTCGAAAAGTTTTGTACCGTTAATTGATCTCTGCATGTTTTTTTTTGTTGATTTTTGGCGTATGCGATCTCGAAGCATATACAAACAAGTTTGACGGTTGGATCTTTGAAACTAGTTTCATACAATGCGTTTCTCATCAAGTTCAATGGTATATATATTTACTAAGTAGATTTTAATTCATTTATTTTGGGTTTATGTAAAAAAAATTTGAATTTGAAAGGGTTTTTGTTAGAAAAATATACACTTTGAGTACTTTTTATAATATATTTTTTTTAAAAAAAAACTTGCTCAACGCCTTAATGTGGTCGTTGTGCAAAACCATTTTGCACGATGTCAAATTGTATACCTATGTCATGCCAGTTGTGATAAGTTTGGCGGTGCAATATCTATTCCCTCTCGCTAATCTCAGACTCTCTCTCGACCTCACCTCACCCTCCTCGACCTCTCTCTTCCCTCTCGCTAATCTCATACTCTCTCTCGACCTCTCCTAGACCTTACTCCTCAATGTCCTCACCCTCACTCAGGCACTCTCTCTCGACCTCACCTCACCCTCCTCGATCTCACCCTCACTCAGTCACTCTCTCTCTTGACCTCCTCGCCGATTTCTCTCCTCCTCACACATCAGACAAGTGACTCACCCCTCATCCCTCACTTCCTTCTCATCCCTCACCTCACTGTGCACCGATTCTCCCCCAAATCAGGTAAATTTTGGAATTAATTTAGGGTTTGAAATTTAATTTACGGTTGGAATTCTAGATTAGGGTTTGTGAAATTTAGCAATTGGAAGACAAAGTATACTGTATACTGAGGGTTTAGGGGTTGAAATTTAGGGGTTGAAATCTAATTGCATCTGGAATTGGATTCCAGCTTTTGCTTTGCCTCATACTCTCGAAGAGGATATGCATATGCTTCAAGGTCCTGTTCTGGTTGAAGCTTCCTTGACAATTGCAGGCAAGTTCCTATTTATTATCTCCCTTGAGTACTCTACTAATCGTAATGATTCCACAATGCTTTTGAATTGATTTATGCATATCATGCCATGATTAAATAATGTTATAAGATATGTTGCACTATTGTGAAATGCTAAAATAATCCTATGGGATGCGCATGTAAGTTCATGTAAGGTTATTATGTTGACTATAATTATTGCATCATTATGGCATGCTTATACTCATGTAGTCTGCTCATCACTGCCGCACCCCTGTGTTAGTGCTTGCCCCGGGCCAGGGCTAGTCCATCACGTGTATGTTCACCTCCCGCATCGCACGCTCCCCTTGGATCCAAGTAGGTGCCGGTCCTATTGTACAAGTCGCATTAGGCGACTCCGACTTGTAGGTGACCGCGATTATTGCTAGTCTTCACGTGATTGTAGCACTAGAGCGTATATTATGATTACACCCAGTCTTGTCGTACAGGTAGTATTAGGCGACTCTGACTCGTGTGCTAGCATAGATTGATGAGCAATAGGTCAGTCGTACAGGTCGCATTAGGCGACTTCTACTGGTGTGCTAACATAGGTTGTTGAGCACCTGATTTTACTTATATTACTGTTGAGATTTTGTGATTTTGGAATGTTATGCCTTATTTACGTTTTGCAGGCTACGGTAAGTATTTTCATACTATACATAATATGTATATTTTGGAAACTATACATGTTTTACGGCGAGGGGTTATAACGTTTTCAAAGGTTTTTATTAAAACTTTATTTTCAGACCCATTTACCTTTGTTTTTCGCCCCTCCAAATTTAGTAGCTGTGCTCTCGTGTCGATAATGATTCTTGGCAAGTCTTGGTGTAGATGATTACCTTCAATGGTATAATTCCTTACCCTATTTACTGTACTGTACTTATGCTCTGTTATCACGTGTGAAATGGATTCATTCTTGCTCACCAACACACTCTTATACTTAGACACTTTTAGGTTTAAATTTATTCACATTTTTCTACATCACTATACTTTATGGCTTCATCATCTTTCAGGTGTCGGCCAACACAGCTCGATTTGGAGTTCTAGTCGACATTCCGGGTTGGGGTGTGTCAAGTGGTACACCGTTGTTATTTTTGTAAGTAGGGGGAAATTTTATTTTTTTATGTTATTAATTTTTTTAACACAAGAATCTCATCACCCCGTGTTCCGGACACATTGAAAAATCTATTGTCATCTTGACATCTTGACTACTATTGGGAAACAATACTAAAAAAATAAAACTGAAAAATGTAATTCAATTTAAAGTCTTTCTCTTATTCTAAGCTAATTTATATAGGAAGTTTTAACGAAAAGCTCATGGTACTATTCATTTTAACGAAAAATCACATTTTTACACTAAAAAGTCAATCATGGTACTATTCACTTTACCCTTTATTTTGTTCTTATTATTAAAACTCAAAGTTTTCAAATTCTTTTCATTAGTTCTCTCTCTCTCTCTCTCTCTCTCTCTCTCTCTCTCTCTCTCTCTCTCTCTCTCTCTCTCTCTCTCTCTCTCTCTCTCTCTCTCTCTCTCTCTCTCTCTCTCTCTCTCTCTCTCTCTCTCTCTCTCTCTTAATGATAGCTGACAATGGGAGAAAAAAGAGTGTGGAAAGGTGGGGGTGGGGTGGGGGTTACGCGCACCTAGTGCAAGTGGTGTTTTTTAGATTTTTTTTTGTTCATATCATTAAATAAAGTTAGTAGGTTTTTTTTAATTAAAATGCAAAGATTTAAAATTATTTTCATTAGTTTTCCTATTACGTAATTATACAAGATTGATGTGTAGAATAGCTCTATATATTCCATAATCATGTTTAGGAAATTTGTCATACTTAGTCTGACACAGAACTAAACACTTAATTAGTCCGACAATGCACTAAACACTTTATCCTGCTTAGTCCAAGCCAAACTAGTCCAACTTAGACCCTCAAGCTTGTCTAATCCGTGATAGTCCAATGTCAAAAAATGATTTCTAAAAGAATTAAAATCGTTCAAATTCTCAATTGAATACATCATTCTAAAGTACAAATCGTACTTTTCGTTTTTTTTTTTTTTTAATAAATAGTATTCTACACTAATATATGTTATACATTTTAAATATAAAACGTAACAAGTTCCGGGAAGCGTGTGTCATTTTGCCGCTACGTAAATTTGGCGCATATGATGGAGCTCCCCCTCTGGACAACATAAAATAAAGCAACATCAACTACACACCTCCCCCTGTCCAGTCACAGCCACTCCAAAACACACGCCACGCAGCCGCCGCTTCCCACAAGTAGCAAAACCAAAACACCACTCTTCCACTTCTTCCTCTTCGTCACTTTCTTCTTCTTCTGCAGAGACATCAGAGTTACGCCGCATAAACTCGCATTCTGACACCCATGGCTTGCTCCACCGCTGCTCCGCCGTCCACCTCCTTCATCAGCAACAAGGTCCCTTTTGGTTTTTTTGGCTCCAACTTTTTTTTCTTCCAATTTATTTTTTTGTTGGGTTTTCACTAACCATTGCTGAATTTGATTGAACCTCAGAAGGATCTGAATCTATCTGCTTTCTCCTCCGCAACGCCGATTTCTAGTCAGAAATGCAAGAGAAAATCCAAGAAAATTTGCTCCGTCATAGCTCCGCAGCAATCGGAGCGCCAGCCCGCCACCACCGGCTCGGTTAGGATGAACTTTTTTCCATTGGTCTTGTGCAATTAGGATTGATGAGAATCCCCATTTGGCGGGTTTTTTGAATTGGGTTTTGGTTAATTTTCAGGTTAAGACCGGGATGACGATGACTGAGAAGATATTTGCTCGAGCCTCTGAGAGAACCCAGCTGAGTCCGGGTGAGAATGTTTGGGTTGATGTCGATGTTTTGATGACCCATGACGTCTGTGGACCCGGTTCATTTGGAGTCTTCAAGAAAGAGTTCGGCCAGAACGCAAAGGTACTTCCTTTTCTTCTTTTGGTTTTTGTTTTTCTAAATGCATTACTGTATTAAACACCCAAAAGACTAGCAGTGTAATCGGAAGCCATATTTTTCGGTTTTGAATAGCTTAGTTTACTGATCTAGACATGCTTTACAAACCAATAATGAGAAGGGGTGGGCATAAATATTTTGTCAGAAGCAATAGGTTCATTGATCAAGTCGGGTTATCGTTGAGTGACTCTTCTAGCAATGGTAATGATTACATTAGAGAATCTACTTCTATGAATCGGGTTAGGCCACAAGAAACATTGTGCATCAATGTGTCCCAAATGGTTTCTGCGCATCACTGCAGGAGTCAAGGAACAATAGCATCATAGTGTAGCTTGACCCAACCCAACATTGGATGGCTGCAATGAGAAGGTTGTCTTTGTTTCTCCTTGTCCTAGTTCACATGCCCATTTCTGTGGGTAAACATCGTGTTGTCTGCGAGGCCAGTACAACATATCAACATACAAGTCCTCTCTTACTGCTTTGTTTATGAATAACCATAACCAATCACAGAAATAAAGGAAAGAAGGAATTCATTTGCATTTAACTCATTGCTTGATGACATATTTTCTTTGTTTAGCTCACTATTCATCATCTCTGTATGTGTGTTGATTATTATTGAAAAGGTCTATTTTTCATATCTGAGATTTTGTAATCACAGCAGTTTTTGTTGTCATGGGGTATAAATAGTGCTTCATTGTTTCGATATTGCAGGTTTGGAACCGTGAAAAGGTTGTTATCATACCTGACCATTATATATTTACCACTGATGAACGTGCGAACCGAAATGTGGATATCTTGAGGGATTTGTGCACCGAGCAAAACATCAAGTATTTCTATGATATCAAGGATCTAAGTAATTTCAAGGTGTGGATTTTAGTGTTATGTTTTCACCATGTTTTAATTGGTTTAATCATCAGATATTGAGTTTAGTTGACAATTTGGCAGGCCAACCCAGATTATAAGGGCGTATGCCATGTTGCTCTTGCTCAAGAAGGTCATTGCAGGCCGGGGGAGGTACTTTCCTTTGAAGAGTTCAACATTATTTTATGGTTTTTTCAGTCCAAAGTAGCAACCAAACACCTGATTTGGTCTTCAGGTTCTGCTGGGTACAGATTCTCATACATGTACTGCTGGAGCTTTTGGACAATTTGCTACTGGAATCGGGAACACTGATGCAGGATTTGTATTGGGCACTGGGAAGCTTCTCCTCAAGGTTTGGAGATTTTAAATATGTTTTCATTTCTGCCTTTCTGATCACATATAATTGTCACTCTCTGGCGGATTTCATGTGAATGGTTTAATTCCACGGATAGTTTAGCTTCCACTAATATAATATTGGTGAATATTGGCCCCTTTCGCCCTGTTTAGGTTTCATACTGTGCTTTACACGTATTAAAAATTTGAGCCATTGTAATACTGTAGTGCTTCAATGGTTTTGGAGTTGTTTCTTACCTTTTCTTTTGTTTTATTTAAATTGTGATGGTGATAATGAGTTTCTAAGTCCTTTGTAATAAATGAAGGGTCAATGAACCATTGTCATTGGTATCATGATCTTCCACCAGATATGTTATGTCTACTGACTGATAGATTCATTGATTTTTGGCAGAGTATTTGACTTCAAACATCAAGAACTATGTATTTAGTTGTAGAAAGTAGTAGTATTTACGTTGCAATAAATCATGGGAAAACAATATGAAATGACTTTGAATAGTAGGTAGTGACAACCAATACGATTTAAATGCTTGTTGCAGAACTTTTCTGCCTTCATTAGTCTTGTTTAAGTGTGGTCATGAAGGTGGTGATGGTTTTTGAAAGTGCACTGGCAGGGATGATGAGTTTGTGAAACTTTGATATTGTGCACATGAAAGGATTTTAGTAAATGGTTGATTTAGATTGATTTATACAGTTTTAGATTGTTGTATATGTCCTGGAAGCAAGTGTTGCTTGAGGTGTTTAGATACATGCCATATGAAACAACAGGCTCTAGTAGCATTTGCATGTGATACTCAAGTTTTATTAAGCACAAGTACGACATCTGCAAGCCCAAGTTGAGATGTTTTCATCTTATATTAGGTTCTGGTATTAGGAAGTGGGGTTTTCATTTGATTTTTGAAGCTATGGGTTAGACTTTATAAAAGCCATTAGACTTGACTGTATCGAAGGCAATATCAGGAAGGGTACATATTACAGCCTCACTCAACTTGAGGTTTGAATGTCTCAAAACAAATCATTGGACATTGTTAAAAACTTGGAAAACAGGAAAGTACACCATATAGTGACCCGAAAAGGGAGAATTATGCTTTTTGATAAGCTAAATGTCTTTCTCTTTCCAGTATGAGCTATGAGTGATCGAGGTTGTACTTGTATCTGTAGATTCACAATTTCTGCTGTATTTCTATATCTCATACTTTAATATTATAGTTGTTTGCAGTAATTTCTTTGAATTTTATTGTACTTTCATACTTTTCTGATTTCCTTCTAAAATTGCAGGTGCCACCAACATTGAGATTTGTGATGGATGGTGAAATGCCCGACTATTTGCTTGCCAAAGATTTGATTCTGCAAGTAAGTTTAATCAGGCCTCAAGGCATTTTTTTTTTACTCAGTCTGCATAGCATACAAAGAAGTTAAAATTATAAGAGTTAGATCATATGATTTTATTTGCTTGATATATAACACATCCAGCCTTGCTGTTTCCTTGATAAATGAATTTCATCTGGCAGATTATTGGTGAAATATCTGTTTCTGGTGCAACATATAAAGCTATGGAGTTTGTTGGCAGCACTGTTGAAAGCTTATCTGTAAGTGAATTTTACTGCATGTCTGATCATACCATTCATCTGGTTGTATCTGTTAATTACTCTTTCACAAACTTGTGCTGGACAGATGGAAGAAAGAATGACATTATGCAACATGGTTGTTGAGGCTGGAGGTAAAAATGGTATTGTTCCTGCTGATAGCACTACATTTAAGTACCTTGAGGTTAGTGCTACAAATCTTCAAATGCTATGATGGCTCTCTCTCCCTCTCTTTCCCCTCCTCCTTTAGAGTCAGTAAAATGGGGTTGGGAGCACAACATTTTCTTGTTACAGTTAGGGGATTTATTTTTTTATTTTATTTTATTTATTTTTTGTGTGGGTGGCTGTCACAAATTTGTTCTTTTTTGAATGTCACATACATTTGTGTTGTGTAGCACAGGCTATATAATGTTTAATGTTGAATTGCAGGATAAGACGTCTGTTCCCTACGAACCTGTTTACAGTGATGCTAAAGCAAGGTAATTTATGCTACTGATTATCCACATTTTGTTAGACCATTTCATGATCCAGTTTATAATGTTCGAACTCTGAAGCATGTTTTTTGCTTTCAACGTGGACATGCACTCTAGAATCTTATGTTAAGTTTTTATGGTTGATGCTTTTATACACACTTTTTAGATTTAGTAACGTTTTAATGTCAGATATTTAAAATAGTATTTCCTATGGTTTTGAGGGACTTTTGACGCACTGATGGTGCATTTGAATTTTGACAATGTTATGTTAGTGGATGAGACATCATTCTATATTCATCTTTTTTAAAATACTATGTGGTCATCATCTTATGTATTTTAGTTCAGGTTGTCACGGACTACCTTATCATCATTTGTAAATCTACAGCAGATGTAAGAGAATTGGATGTTAAGCATACCTAGGATTCGAATACGCATATTCTTTTATATTCCTTTTTATAATATGCATATTCTTTTATTCCTTCTGTTGACTAACTTAAGATTTGTGAGATTTGGCCTGTTGGAATTCGTTTGTATTAATGAGTTTGTTTTGTGTGCATTTAGATTTCTTAAAGAGTACAGATTTGATATCTCAAAATTGGAGCCATTGGTGGCAAAGGTGAGCAGCACATATATTGGTCTCTTATCGTTTAATCTCCCTTGTAGATATTCAATGATTTGTAATTTTGCCTCTCTTCCATGGTTAATTCATAAAAAGAATTGTTTTCCAGCCTCATTCTCCAGATAATCGTGCTTTAGCAAGAGAATGCAAAGATGTGAAAATTGACAGAGTATATATCGGTTCTTGTACTGGTGGAAAAACAGAGGATTTTATGGATGCAGCCAGAGTTTTTCTAGCATCTGTAAGGAGTCAAATCTTTGTCACATGAGTATTGGGATATTGTTTACATATGCTGACTTCGGATATTGTTTACATATTCTGTAATGCTGACTTCAATTGACATCTGAATTTTTTTTTTGGAAATTCTCTTTTCTTGGTTTAAGCTTAAAGATTTAATTCCTTTGCTGCAGGGGAAAAAGGTCAAAGTTCCCACATTTCTTGTGCCTGCTACCCAAAAGGTTTGTCAAGCTACAGAATTAAGTGCTTCGGTGACAACATCTGTATATATAAATTTATCAAGAAATTTTATGAAAGGCATGATAAATGAAATCTTGTTTATTGTATATTCTGAAATCTGCAGGTTTGGATGGACGTGTATAGTCTGCCAGTTCCAGGGTCTGGTGGCAAGACTTGCTCCCAGATATTTGAGGAAGCTGGATGTGACGCACCTGCAAGTCCCACTTGCGGTGCTTGCATGGGTGGTCCGAAAGACACGCATGCACGCTTAAATGAACCTCAGGCGAGTGCATCCTTTCTGCAACACATTCATAAGGATCTAATGTGCTCTCCTGTCTTGGGGCAGCTGGACGTCACGCATTGTTGCATTTCACTATGTTGTCTTCGATAGAATTGGGACTTCCCTGCCTTTGGGGTTCATAACCCAATTTGCAGATAACCTTGTTGCAAGGAGAACATCTTGGTTTTAGTTTCAATTGTATTGAAAATAAATACTGGTAGATTATTAACCATCTTGTCTTTGCAGGTATGCGTCTCGACAACAAACAGGAACTTCCCAGGTCGAATGGGTCACAAGGAAGGCCAGATATATCTCGCTTCCCCCTATACGGCTGCTGCGTCAGCTTTGACTGGTTACGTCACCGACCCGAGAGAGTTTTTGCAGTAGGCAGTTTTATCATTACAATCTGATCAGTGTATGTCATCTTTATATTCTGCAACTAAATGCTGTTAGATAGCAGAGATTACGGAATAATGGGTATAACATCCATCCTACAAGGTTTTATGTCTTGTGATGGTCGGGTAGCTGCCATATTGTATGTGTAATCGTTTGAGCATGTTAGAATGTATTTATGAAACGATGGAATAAAGAGGGCCTGTCGGTGAACTTCTCACTCTATGCAGCATAGTCTGTTCCAAGACAGAACGGATGTGAGTTATAAGAGCCAGTAACACGATCACAATCAATGGTGAGATGCTGCTCAATACCAGTAACTCTTAGAGATTACTCTCTGTATAACAAGAGCAGAGCTCTGATACCAATTGAAATTGGTATTAGGCGGAATATCTTGCTAATAAAAATTTTAACTTTGCACAGTAAACTAGTCAAATGAGCTAGCTAACTAGTTACAAGTTTTTTAATGACATAAAGTACAGTTGCAAGAACTAAACTTAATTGACTAGTACGTCTAACTAGTTAGAGTTTACCTAGATGTGTCTAACAACAAAAAATCACAAAATGGAACGCATTCACATATCTGTCCATTATGCAAACAACGATGACAAAGCAATTATGAATTAAAGTAGGTTGGATTGACTAGTCAAATTCACTAGTCAACTAAGTACAGATTCGTTAGTTAACCAAGCACAAATCTATCAAACAGACTTAGTTTCCTATGAGTTATTCTAGTCAACAACAATACAGTTCATTTTTAATATTAGAAAGCCAGAAAGAGAGAAATCTATCAAACAGACTTAGTTTCCTATGAGTTATTCTAGTCAACAACAATACAGTTCATTTTTAATATTAGAAAGCCAGAAAGAGAGTTTAGTGTCTTAAGGCTTCACAAAAAAAAAAATGGACTATAAAGCCCCTCAAACAAAAAAAATCTAAAACTAAAACTGAATTTGGTACATGAAAACAAGGGCAATTTTGTAAAAAAAACATAAATCTAAAATTCTTTTTATTAGAAGAAAAAAAAGGAAAAAAAATAAAAAGGGTAAGAAGTGCTGGAACCGGTGAAACATTTAATATCTCAAAATTGCCCCTTTTATTACAGGTTGTAAAAATAATAAAAAGTAAAAAAGTAAGGACATGATGATAAAAACATGGCAAGGAGAGAAAATGGAGGAAAGAAAATAGAACGTGCAGAAAGAAAGAAACTGTATTTGAAGCAGTTGCCGTAGTAGTCTCCCACTGTAACAAAATTATATTTTAAAAAAAATATCTAAGAAATTTAAAAATGAGATAAAAAAGGGGAAGTGCTGAAATCCCTGATTTATTTTCTTATAAAAAACGAGATAAAATGAATTTAACCCAACCAACCAACACCACTGCTCCTCCATTTTAGAAGAGCCTGAGTGTTTAATATCTCACAAAAATAAAAATAAGAAAATACAAAATAAAACACAACCATAGTATTGTAACAAAAAACAGAAACTTAAAATTGTTTTTATTGAAAAAAAAAAAAAAAAAAAGACATGACCAACTCCACTCCTCCATTTTCAGAGAGGGAAAGGGACTAATATGTCATAGAAATATTGTTAAAAAAACAGAAATTTAAAATTTGTTTTATTGAAAAATGAAAAAAAAAAAAGAAAAAAGAAAAAAAAAAAGAAAGAGACATGACCAACTCCACTCCTCTTTCATTTTCGGAGAAAATATTAATCTAACAAAATTATATTCAAAAAAAATATCTAAGAAATTTAAAAATGAGATAAAAAGAATTTAATAACTCACAAAATTATATATTTATATATAGATAAATACGAAATCAACGTGGGAGAAAGAAAGGAGTAGAGGTTGCCATGAGTTTTCAAAAAGGAGTGTAATTCGCCCACTACAAGCGCTAACTTCCCAGTTTGTAAAATCCCATTTTTTTCGTTTCTACTCATTTTCCCATATACAAATTCAAATATTCTAATTTTTCCCTCAGTTATGTAATTGCCATCAACAATTGTTGCTTGGTATTACATACTATCACACTCCAACGTGGGATAAAACGGGTTTAAGCAATGTCCAAGTCATCATTCTTTTTCTTTTTTTTTCAATTTTTTCGCTTTTTTGCTTTGCCACTCTTCTCTCTCTCCCTCTTCCTAGGCATAAAAGGGAAATTAATTTGGGTGTCAGCTTCTTTTGCTATAGCTTTTGCAAACTCTAATTCGTATACATATTCATTTGTGTATATATATAAATATATGTATATACATTTTTGTGGTTAAAATCTTGGTGCTTTTTATTCCAATTTTCTTATTCTTTCTCTCTCCTTTTTGTTATGGGGTCAATGGAGTATAAGCCCTATTACTGAGAAAATACATAAGGTTGTGGTGGTCTATTCTTTTCACAAAATGTTTCTGTTGCAAATAACAGTATCGTATGCCTGCCACACCATACGACGCACTTTGAGGAAGACGATCCAAAAATTACACTAATGATGTAACAAGAACAGCGCAGAATAAATTCTTCAAAAGGACACTAAACAAAAACACAGGTACTCAAACCATCTTTAAGGTAATCTCCGCCATCATTACTTCAGTAGGTTTAACTTCCCAAGCTGAACATATATGCAGTAGTGGAGCTGGATCCGGTTTGTAAGGTCAAAATTCCCTGCTCAGCGCTGGAGAAAACGACAACTGCAATAGTGACACGAAAAATAAGATATCGAAGTGCACTTCTAAGTCGAAAGAATGATAAGAAATGAGATGAGCCCCGAACATGCATTACAAAAAGTTAGGGGTTCTGCTCAACGGTCTTAAATAGTGGGATGCATCAAATAGTACACGGGGTATATCTAGAATATAGATATGAAAGATTTTTCATGAGCACAACTGACTTCAGCAAGTAGCCAGATCAGTGTAAGCTCATCTAAGAAACTGGGAATTTTCAAGACATGAAGTGAGAAATTCTTTCAAGTTTAATCTCAATATACAAATAAGCTGCAGTTCTCAAGAGAAACAAAAAATCTCGTTTCAGCAGAGACTTGAGCACGACAACATTAGAGATGTGCTTCAAGTGATTAATTTCTCCTCCGTTTTTGTTTCCCCAAAGAGGCACATTATAACTTTATTACTTAACTGTAATGTGTTCTTAAGAGCAGCTCCACCGGAGCTTTTTTTGCCCAGCACCAAGTCCAAATAACAGCCCGGCATGCAGGGAAAGTGCTCCAGCCCGCCAACTTGCCTGGCACCCAGCCCGTGCCAGTCAAGAGCCCAGCCCAAAATGGACAGACCCATTCCCCGGTCTGTTTCTGGCGCGTGCACAACACGCGGGAGGCCAGGCGAGTAGCCGACAGCTTTGCAGGCGGTGGGGCCCGCGCGGCAGAGCAACTTGCAGTCGTCCGGGGTGAAGGATACGTGGCCTCCTCAGAGCCGTTGGATTTCCAACGGCTAGTTTTTTAGGCCGTTGGATTTCCAACGGTAAAAAAAATTTGAATTTCAATTTTAAATTGGACCGTCCGATCACAGATCAACGGTCCACGTTTATTTCACCAAAAATTAAATAAAAAAAAAAAAAAAAGGCCCAACGGTCAGAAATTTGACCGTTGGCCACGTGGCGTAATGAGTGCTGTTGGATTTGATTATTTTTCAAATCCAACGGTCCCGATTAATTACAACATTAAAATTTATTAAAAATTAATTAAAAAATGTCAAAATTTTTTTAAAAAATACAGAAAAATTTTAAAAAATTAATTTTTTTTTTTTCTATAAATACCTAACCCTCATCTTCCACCTTACACCACATTTCAATATTTTCTACACTTTCTACACTTTCTACATTTGAATATTTTGTACACTTTGAGAGAAAAAAATGACTTCGTGGACGTGACACATTGTAAACAGGAAGTGACACGTGGGTTGTCGGGATTGGTTGAAAATCTTAGCGGAAATCTATTCAAAAAATAGTACGTTCGGATAATGACACGTGGCGTGACGAGATTGGTTAAAAATCCTATCCGAAATTAAAACTATTTTTTTTTTATTATTTTATAAAAAAATTATTTAATATTTTAAATGGACTGGGTGCCAGCGCATTTTGTAGGGGTGGAGATCGTTTGTGCCAGCGCATTTTTAGACTAGGTGCCAGCACATTTTTTTTTGGGGTGGAGATGATTTGGCCTATTACTGTTCATTGAGTCTGTTACTGTTCAATTAAGTGGATAAATGGGTTGGGTGCTGGCACAAAGTGGATAGGGATGGAGTTGCTCTAAGACAACAAAAAAAGTAGCATGGAACGCTAATAGATGAATAACTTTGTGCTGCAGTCAACATTTTTATACTAACTTTGTGTGTTGAGTTGAAAAATTGCCCATGGTAAATTTGTTGAAGGTCGTCTTCGGTTGCGGAGCCTCCCGTAATAGAAGGAAATATTTGCTTGCTGCCTGATATTTGTAAATTATGTTCGTTCATTGTATATCGTGTGATCAAACATTATTTAAAAAAATTATTTAAAATTAAACAAAAACAGTATTTGACGAAAATTAATTACATAATATACAACAAACGGATATAATTTACAAATTTTTAGAATTCTCACAAATAAAATCAGGAAAGGATCTGTTGGGCAATTCAAACCCATGAAAGTGTGAGTAATTAATGTTCTGGCTGTCCGTGACTTTTCAAATAAACCGAAGCCTATGTTGGCTTATGGTTTACGGCACCTCTTGCTAATTGCCAGACCATCATCTCATTTTTTATTATTTATCCCAAAAAGCATCCTCACAAATTCCCAGCACCATTTTCATTTTCTCCTCTCTTAATATTTTTCTCCTTTCTTTCTCTTCTATTTGAACGATTATGATTAAATGATATTAATATTTTATATTAATTTTTTTATAAAAATAATAAGATAAAAAATAATGTATGAGAGAAGAGAAGAGAAGATAATGAAAATATGAGATAGAGAATCTTACTCCTCTTAAAAATTCACCATTATCTCATTGTATCCATTAATTGCATTAATCCGTCAGCAGTTGCCTTGTCACGTCAACAAAACCTCAACTGTTCCAGTCCGCAGTCTACACGCCAAACAGCACAAATCATTTGAACTGAACTGCTCCTTCCCAGTTTTGGATTCCATAGAAAATGTCAAAATAATTGAATATTAAAAAAATTATAATTACAATTAAAAATCATAACATATTTTTCAATAATATCAAAATATCTAAACAC